TTGGTCATCCACTCTTTTACACACACACACACACACACACACATGCCCCTCACTCACCCACTACTGTCAATTGTATAGATTAGGCAGTATCGATGGCCACAAGAACTTGTTATAGGTCACTAAGTCTTCCTCCCTCGTATTGCTATGTTACTTTTATGCACATGTATGTTCACAAAATGGTTTGTGATATTAATTTTGTGAAATAACATAATTTCCTCATGCTTTAATTAAATACGTTTTATTTCCATTTAGTCTTCATACTTGAGTAAACTGCCGTTTAAAAGTTGGTGTCAGTAAGAGTTTTGTTTTTGAGCATGAGACATCTTTCACCAAAACAAGGCTGTATTTATTTGATCAATAATAATAGTAATGTGAAATGTTCTTACAATTTAAAGAGCAGGTCATATGTTTTTTTTTTTTTTTTAAGTGTCCTAATATTGTGTTGGAGTCCCCTACAACAGGTTTAAATGCATCTAAGGTCAGAAAACGTAATTTTCCAAGAATATACATTTAGACAGTCATTTGTCCATAATTTCGAAACTGTTCATTCGATTCAGTTCTGAGCGAAATGTCTGTAAACCCCTCCCTTCCATAAGCCTACTCTGCTCTGATTGGTCAGCTGGCCAAGCCTGTTGTGATTGGCACAAAGAGGAGTGCTTGAGCAAGTTAGCGAGCGCAACCATATGTGTTGCCAAGTCCACGGTTGTTTTGATGTCCGCGGGTTGAAGCGACCCCAATAACGTCATATTTAGCCTCTGGAATGCGAATTTACCAGGGGAACCCTTACAAAAAACTTGTAATTTATACCCCGGAACGTGTTTTTTAACGGAGGACCCCCTCGAAACGCGATTGGGTTAGTTTTGAGTAGCAATTGGGCAGGTTTTGTTGTGACAACCTGGCAACCCTAGCATGCACCTTTACATAAAGCAATAATGTAGTGCTCCAATCCGTTCTTAAAATAATGACATAAGCGAATTGTGCCCACAGCTACAGTTTAACTGCTAAACTGTAATTACTTAAATAATGGTGGATATGTTAGCCGAGTGCTAACATGACTAACTGATGAAACAATACAGTTTGTAAACCAAAATATGTCTACTGTAATGTCTGAAGAACGACAGACAAAATACGCTCCGTGTCGTAACTTTTAATTAGAACGCAGAACAGCTGTATCACAGGCGCACCAGTCTAACTCGCTCGTCTCTCTTTACCGGATATTTTACTCCCTGCATTAACCCTATGACTGCCGGTGCAGCAAAATAAACCACAATTTCATAATGATTATAAAGTCTGTGCGCTACACTACATTCTTTAAACGAAGTAAATTAGAACAACGACACTCTGACACATTCTTAGGAAATAGTGGGTTCACAGTGAATTATCAGAACTATTTCAGTAGGACGGTAATATCGCGGTTTACCTGGTATACATCACGTATTAGCACAAAAAAACTAGATATTTTGAGCACTCAATGGAGAATGTACTCATAACGTATCAATTGTATTTACAGGTTATGGTTCAGAGATGCTTGTTAGTCCAAATAAAGAAAATTAGAAGCTAACAAAGGTAAAAGCCAAGATTAGAGAAGCAGTTCTCAGTCAAATGAGGGGAGCACAACAAAAGGTTCGAATTGTATTGCTGTAATATTGTGGAACACAGTATCTTCTCGCCATGATGTAAACACACTAACTAGCGGAAGTGTTTGTGGGCAGGTAACTGAGTGTACAGTTAGGTGGGGATTATGCAAATGTGTTACCCAGTGATGTAGATTGGTAACCGACAGAAGATTCGAAAATATACGGACTCGTTAAGGCGATTCATAGGCCTGTCCCGATAACAACTTTTAGTTGTGCGATATATTGCCCCAGAAATAATTGCGATAAGCGATTATTATTGTCATTCTAAAGACCATTTTATGCCACTGAATATATAATCATAATGTAACGGCATAATAATCCAGGAAGGCCTACACACTTCCAAATGACAACAAACATTTAATTTAAGAATATTTAGATCATGGAAATTAAGTATCAAAATATTAGATACCTTAAAAAACCTGAATAAATAGTCAATAAACATTTTCTAACAAAGTGCAAAGTAACAAGTAGAAAAAAAGAAAAGTGCACAAAGAACTTGTATGGAGATTTTTCCATCTACAGATTTTTCCTTCTTTTCTCTGTAAATTAAGGGTGCACACTATTGCTGGAAAACACAATCACTACTCGGCAGTCAGATGCCCGTATGCACAAAGGCACAGATCCCTAAACAAGACCATATCTGCACATGAAACTTTTTTTTTTTGTAGAAGCATTTTTTAAATTTGAACTAGCACCTCATGACTGCATCACGTTATGTACGAGAAGCTGCAAAAGACACAGGCGCAAGTGGAATGTATAAAACATGGTGACATACATTTTTAAGTAAATATAATGGGCAATATATTGCGTCACCAAAAATGATTGAGGTCATGTACATATATTGGACGATAAGTCGATATATTGATTATTGCGACAGGCCTAGCGACTCAGAGCCGACTCTTTCTTTTGAGACACAATATCTCAATTTATCATGCACTTTTTTGATTAACAAAATTTATTTATTTTTATTTTTTTTAATTTTAATGTTTTTAGTAGTTCGAAAGAACAGCATTTATAGTATTAATGTATATAGTATTATTATAGAATAGTACAAATACTACAATGTAGTAGTATTTATGCTGTTATACTTTATTAATATTTTAAATTAGCTTATCTATATTTTCTATATATCTATTTTATTTGTTTGCAATTTTTGACTTTTAAAAAAACAATGTAGGTTTAACTGTAGCAACTGTTTCACCCTATTTTTTTTTAATCCATATGTCTGTCTTTTCTCTCTTCCTGTTATTCTCTGCTGTAGTTGGAGCAGATGTGTGGTCTGCAGGCCGTGCTAAATGAGCGGTTCAGAGATGGAGGTGAGGCTGGAGCGTCTCTGCTGTTTCAGAACTCGCAGCTCCTGGAGCAGCTGGATCATGAGGCTAATCTGAAAAGCCAGCTACAATTGGAGCTGCACAAGTCCGAAGGTCAGAATACCTATATATGGTCTGCTGTTGTCCATTGTATTACTTTCTCTGTTTTAGGCACTTATCTCATTTGCTGTCCTGTGTGCATATACATGTGTGAATCTAGGTCGGATGGAAGGCTATGTAGCTGAGAAAGCAGCTTTGGAGGAGGCACTTCAGCAGAAGGAAACGCAGCAGCAGCGTCTGGCAGAGGAGCTGGAGAGCACTCGCATTCAACTGCAGCAGCTCAGTGAAAATCATGCCCTCCTCCTGCGTCAGAGAGAAGCCCTCACGGCCGGCCTCAGAGACACTGAGAAGGGTGAGAGAGGAAGGGTTTAGGGCCATGATTTAAACTGACATGCTTTAGTTTAATTCTCAGATTGAATTACATAACATGCAATTACGTAACATTAGTTTTGTCATTCGGTGCATGCCAAATAGTCATGGCCTGTTAAAGACCTGGTGCTTTGCACACAGAGTAGGGGTGTATGATGTGTATCATCTTTGATAATATTATAATTATAGTATTAACAATATGCAAGCTGACAATTTAGAGAATGACACTGGCTAAACAAAAAAATGTGCCGAGTGCACATATGCAACGTAGCCTATTTGAGCTGTTTTGCCCAGTATCAGCACAGTTGCAAATGTCATTAATTTTAGAAAGGTTTAGTAAACAATAAGTAAACAGTTACATTTTTAGATGCACTGTTGTCTTTGTTTTTTTTGTCAATGAATTTCCAAACCACAGCAGAACTGTTTTGTGTCTCTGACCAACACAGCAGTGCTTCACTGCGTTTATGCGATTTGACCAAATGAGTTTAATGAATGATTAAATGAATCTGTCATTTGAACAAATCTGCCGCCACCTAGTGGTGGTTTTAGTTTCATACGTAGTTATGAAATAATTTTTAATGAATGAAATGACACTTTAAATGTATTCATATTTATAAAAAAAAATATCCCATAGGATTATTCATGCAGTTGTAAATGCAATTCAAGCCACCTTTAAATTACATTAAACAGTCGGTCTAAATACATTTAAATGCCACTTCAGATGTATCTTCAGTTCCGCTTCTGCAGTGCAAAGATGAATTTTGTTGATACTGATTTCATTTGATTTGTTTTATTATTCTATTTGATTTTATTATTAATATTATATAAAATCTCCTGGAAATCATTTTAAGGGGGGTAAATATTAACTTTACTTTGTCACTGCTGTGAACTAACCACTGCACAGAATATGTAAAATTTCTGGAGTCTGCTGTTCACGACAGGCTCAAACCAGCCAAGATACCAGCAGTAAAACACACTTGGCCAAATCTATAATTATTATCGACAAAATGCTGGAAAATATTTAGGTAATGTTTATCAATATCATACACCCCTAACACAGAGTGAAATTTAAGATCGTGTGCTTGTGATGGAGGGTTTAGTTTCATCCTACAAATTCTTTCTGCTCTGTAGGCTTCCTCGATGCAGAGGAAGAGACAGGTTTGTGATGATAATCTGCGACTGAAGTAAATGTTTGAGTTGAAAAATTACGTGTACAGTTTGACACTAAATGCATCCGTTCCAGATGAAGTTTGAGAATTTTTATTTATTTTTTTAGTTTGTTTTATTAATGCTCTTGCTTATCCTGTGTTGTTTTTTTGCAGTTTAACTTGCTCTAAACCTTTGGTTTTGAAGGTCCAAATACTTATTAATTTCACTTATGAGTCTTTCTTTGCCAATTTTTTCTTGATCCAGTTTGCTGTGCTTTATTTGTGCATTGAGAATGCACAAATGATCCGGAGCTCCTGTGCATGTTTGCATCTTAATTTGCAGTTTGCGTGTTTTGTTGACATGGACTCTGCTGTTACTTATTGATTTTATTCATTGGTCCTCCTGGGCTCTGTGCAGCTCTGCTAGCGGAGACTGAGCGTCTGGGGCAGGAGTGTGTGGAGGTGCAGCGGCAGGCGGAGAAGGACTGCGGTGGTTTGGCGTCTCGTCTGCAGATGCTGGAGCAGGCCTTGGAGGAGCAGGAGAGTCGTGCGCATCAGCTGGAGGAACAGCACCGCCTGCAGACTGAGGACCTGCAACAACACATTGATGCTCTGGAGAAACAGCTCAAACATAACCGCCAGTTCATAGATGTGAGTGTTCCCAGCAGTTTATTCAAGTGTCTGAAATTCAGCACCAGAAAAAGTGAATGTGAGCTTGGGGAAATAAATGACTCTGCCTTTTTTCCTCTTATGTACAGGAACAAGCAGTGGAGCGGGAGCATGAGAGAGATGAATTCCAGCAGGAAATAAAAAATCTGGAAGATCAACTGAGACAACCATCTAAAGTACACACTGGAGGGGACAGCAAGGGTCAGAGGGTAAGGGTCCGTGTCTAGAACTTTATGGCGCTTTTCCACTGCATGGTACGGCACGGTACAGCTCGGTACGGTTCACTTTTGAGGGGTTTTCCACTGGGTACAGTACCTGGTACTTTTTTTAAGTACCACCTCAGTTGAGGTTCGAAGTGAACCGTACCGTTACCAAAACGTGACGTGTATACTCTGCTGATCACGGATTGGCCGAAGAGAATCGTCACTACCTGCGTCACTGAACTTACGACACAACCATAACAGAACCGCTAGTTTTAAATCAGCACAGCCAGCGAAGGATCGAACGCAACTATTTTGAACAAGCGCACCTTTTTTAACAACCAAAAAGTGTCTGTTTCGTTGTCTGTTGAGGAAGTACGGACATTCCTCTCGTTGATAGCAGAGGAGCAGATCCAGCGAGAGCTTAATGGGGTGACGTGGAATTAAAAGGTTTTTCAGGAGTCGCGGCAATAGAGGCGACACGACTATAACGACATGTGAATAATCGTGCCCACTCTTAAGCGGTACTGAACTGCAGTGGAAACGCAAACCGAGCAGTGCCGTACCGTACTGAGCCGAGTCGTACCACGCAGTGGAAAAGATATGTGTTTGTATGTGCTAGAAATGTGTTTGTTTTAACAGACTGACACCCTTTTTGTGAATATTGGATATGGAATTAAAAGGTTTTTCAGGAGTCGCGGCAATAGAGGCGGCACGACTATAACGACATGTGAATAATCCTGCCCACTCTTAAGCGGTACTGAACTGCAGTGGAAATGCAAACCGAGCAGTGCCGTACCGTACTGAGCCGAGTCGTACCACGCAGTGGAAAAGATATGTGTTTGTATGTGCTAGATATGTGTTTGTTTTAACAGACTGACACCCTTTTTGTGAATATTGGATAATCTGTGACAAGTATGTGAGCAGAATGAAGTGGCAGTAACTTCCCATTCGTGCTCAAAACATTCTACAATCACTTCACTCTGGCTCCATTCTGGGTTTTTTCCCATTTCTGTTTGTAAAGAAACTTATTGATAGATAAATCTTTTGTCATGTCTTTGTGTTTTGCTCACCAAAGCTGCATTGATTTGATTAAAAATAAAAATAAAATAAAATGGGTAAATTGTGGAATATTAAGTTCTATTTGTACAAAATAGTTTTCTATTTTAAGATGTAATTTATTCCTATGATGGAAAACTTTTTCAGAAAAAGACAAAAAATTTTCAGCAGACATTACTCCAGCCTTCAGTGTGACATGATTCTTCAGAAATCATTCTAATATGCTGATTTGGTGCTCAAGAAACATTTCTTATCAATGTTGAAAACTGTTGTGCTGCTTGATAATTGTGTGGAAATTGAAAGTGAATGATTTTTAGTATTTTTTTATTCGAAAGTTGAAAAGAACAGCATTTATTTGAAAGGTGTTTTCTTTCTATTTTTTCTCTTTTTTAATAATAAAAATGAAGCCTTTAATGTCACTTTTGATCTATTTAATGCAGCCTTGTAGAATAAAATTACTTAAAAAAAATTAATTAAAAAAAAGTCTATATTCTATACATATATTCAATAATATATTTACACTATTCAATACATTGAATTTTTGATGCATTTGCATTTTTAATGTGCCTGTATTTCTGGTCCGATAACAGACTGATCGTGGAGCAAAAGAAAACATAAAAAATTCCATGCTCCAAACAAAATCTAAAAAACCTGCTGCTCTTCATTGCTCACATTAGGGCTGCACGATATATTGTTTCAGCATCGATATCGCAATGTGCGAATCGGCGATAGTCACATCGCAGGATGTGCGATATTTAGTATACTGATCGTTATATTTATACTGATTGTTTTCTTTGCTCACACACAGACAACGTGTCTACAGCAACAGCTGTACAGAGATACCCTTTTTAAATACATTTAGTAGCAGAGCTACTGCAAGCGATTTTTCAGTGCTGGAAATCCATTTATCCTTTGGTTAAACTTCCGCGTTGTTGTCGAGGAGAGCACAGGTCACGGTTGCTTAGCAACGGCAGACGCCACGAAAGCGCCAGCGCCAGCTCCCGAGCGCTTTGGAAAGAAGGAGAAAGTGGCGCAGCTGCCTTTTTCCACACGTTTTTAGGCAAGGCATGTGAATGGCCCCAAAGTCTTTTTACACTGGACGAGACAAAGCGACCGTTTCAAATCATTTGAACTTTGTGTCAGTACGTCATAAGTAGAACAAGCATCTACTGTCGGGGATTTGTCGTGTCGCGCCTCATCCAGTGTAGTCAGTCACACAGCATCACTGATTATAATGGGTTCTATAGCACTGAATTCCGTTCACTTCCACGTCTATTTGTACCTGTAATGACACACACGCGCGAAATTGTCAAAATGCATGTCTCTGCAAGTATCCTTGGAAAAACAGTTGCTTAGGTGAAGGTAAACAATTGAGAAAGAAAATGGATGTGTAACAGTAGTTTAATGTTCCTGAGGCTTTCTGTGTCATGAATGTTAATCAAACAACAAAACGCATAGAGAAAAATCACTTTTGTAGCTTTAACACAGATTTATTAGATTTAATTTATACAGTGAAGACTATGCAGTGTTATTTTACATTTCATTATTCAATTTCTGTACCTGAATCCTGTTAGATTTACCTGAAAAATATAAAGCACCGTTTATTTCATTTGTGTCTTTGTTCTGTTATATTTATCTATGCTTGTAATTTGTTTATTTCCTATGCTAATTTACTCACCTACAAAATCACCCCAAGCATTGATTTTTATTTTTATTTTTTATTTTTTCATAATAGAGCTCTTCAAATCATCTGGTGAATTTTTTTGTATTTTTTTATTTTTTCATCATATCGTAACGTATATCGCAGAAAAACAATGTCGCAATGTGAGTTTTTTTCCAATATCGTGTAGCCCTAGCTCACATACTCGGTCCATGACAAATAGCCTAAAGACATTCTGATTCTTTGACATCTCTGAATGATTTGAATGTTCATTTAGATGCTTTTTTTTTTCTCCCTAACTGAATGTTGTAGATTGAGGACTTGGTTCTTCAGGTATGTTATCCAGCTGTAGTCATTTACGTGCTGATCCTGTGACAAATATGCATGGCTTATGCAACGTTTCGAGTAGTAGAGCATGTGATAGATATTGTCCATTCATTTTCTTGTTTGTCAAACCTTTTCAGCAGGTATACATTAGTCATGTCTGTAATTCATGTTTTTTTTTCCTCTTCCATCCTCCTACTCAAATACACACATACACAAATCCTCTTTCCTCTGAATTGTCTGTTTACTACTGTGGTGGCTTCTGAAGGCTTTATTTAATAGCTTTATTGCCTAAACTGTACATTTGTGTCTGTTAATTTTAGGATTGTCTTGTAACCACCTTAAAAGTCTCAATCCGTTGCAAAACTGTTGCTTTAATCATTTATGGCTATTTTGTGCTGCTCTTTGGCATGTTTTCCCACATGGATGCTTTACTGCTTTTTTTAGGACTTGGACGTGTTCCTGTCCTTTGTTATGGATACACATGACTTTCTTTGTGCAATTTTGTACAGGTGGAAAGTCTTCAGGCTCTGATCAAAGATAAGATTGAAGACTATAGTGTACTGTTGTCAGCAAAAGAGCAGTGTCAGCGTGATGTGGAAGAGCGTAATGAAGAGATTGAAAAATTGACCGCTCGTATCCGTGAGTTGGAGCAGGCATTGCTGAGCTGTGCAGAGGCCAGCCGATCTGGAACACAGCTGGAGCAAGAACTTCAGAAAGCACGCAAGAACCTTCAGGAGCTCACACAGGTGCACAAAAACACGTGAAATACAAATACAAAATGCATTTTTCACTGCTTCAGTTGGGTGTTAATGTTTGGGGAGATTTGGAATTATTTAGCATGAATATTAAAATAGTTCTAACCAGTAGTGGTCTGTGTGTTTTTACTTTCAGGATAAAGAAGCTTTGCAGCAGCAGCAGTATGCCAATAAGCTTCAGATCTCTGCCCTACAGTCCAAACTTGATGAGACCAGACACCGTTTCCCTGATATGACCCCTGACCCCAACCTCCGGGAGCAGCTTGAAGCCTCACAGCAGGATCTGCAGACCAAAGAACAACAGGTGAGTGTATATAAAAAGACAGTGAAAGAGATATGAAATTGCCTTTAATAGTCTGTTTTGTTTCTAGTTAGGACATGCACAATGGAAATTGATTTAAGAGTTTTCGTCTCTCTTAGGTGGAGTTGCTGTCAGAACATATAAGTGAGCTCGAGAAGGATTTGGTAGTGAGGGAGGAAGAGGTAGGACAACTAACACTACAGCTGGAGCTCAAAAACACAGAGAGCAGAGCTACAGAAGAGCAGCTCCACACGCACATCACTCACCTGCAGGTTAGTCTGTGGTCTCATTATACTTGTATAATGAGTGTAGCCTGGCAATCCTATCGTGATGTTCATTAATTTGTTCACAGTCTTGGATAAATTGTATTTATAGCACAGAACATTCATTCGAATACTGTAGTGGATTTAGTTAGTGATTGTTTGGAGCAGTGTTTCCCAACCGGGGTGCCGTCTGTCGAGAGCAGGGGTGCCGTGTAAAAAATCCTTTTTTAATATTTTTAAATTGCTAAAATGTTCAAAAAAGCATCTATTATATAATATCAATTTCTGATGTCGCCAATAATTAGAGATGCACCGAAATTTCGGCTGCCGAAAATTAGTTCACCACTCAGGTTTCACTTTCACGTGGCGTGACGCTCTGCGTATTATCCCGCTCAATGCGTGTGTGCGCTCCGCTCAGTCGCTCCACTCGTATACCGTTCATGCTCATCGGAACAGCAAAGTCCACTCAAAAATTGAGCCAACAGGAAACATCGATGTAGTACAGTATTGTTTCTGTCTGCAATAGTCATACTGTGCTGTAACATGGTGTGGTATATGGGCAGCTCTGGTAACGCCCTCTCATTCATTGATCTGCTAACCGCTATGTTATGCTCACGTGTTCTGATAATAATAGCTTTCTAGGACTAAACATTATTTGGAAAATTTTTAAAAAAAAAAAAACAAGGTTAAATATCTTAACCCTACTTTTAGACCTACCTGAAAAACTAAAAAGCAATTTATTTAATTCGAAGGCCCTGACTGCTTACTTGTCATTTTTTATTCAATTCAAAGTTTGAAATCTCGTGCTACTGCACCAAAATTGACCCACTGTAAAATTTAAAAAACACTGAGTGAGCAAAAATTAGTGAAAGAGCTAGTTATAATGGTAATTAAATAATGTTTACGTATGTATAAAAGCCTACATTAAAATCTGTCATATAAATTGGTCTCTTCAATAGAAATTAGCCTACTGATTGCCACCATTGATGGACACATTTTTTTAATAATATTAAAAATATCTGTATGACATTATATTTTGCAGTTCTTCCCTGTTGTACCGAATATCTATACTTTTCAAATTATCATATTGAAGTTAGAAATTCAAATATTGTGACAAAATTAATTTTGTAGGGTGCCACAAATTTGTAAAAATTTCCAAAGGGTGCCGCGACTAAAAAAAGGTTGGGAAACACTGGTCTGGAGGATGTTAAAAAGCCAGGTTGACTTCATTCTGTGTCCTTTAGGAGACTGTGGACACTTTAACAAGGCGACTAGAAGAGGGCAGTGACGAATCCATCCTTCAGCTGCCTTCTGCCCTTCTGGAGGAGAAGAATCTGGAGATCGACCACTTAAACCAGCAGATCCTCCAGCTGCAGCAAGAGCTTGACACGACCAGTGATAATAAGGTAAGACAAGTATGTCCATGTTTGTTTTTGTTTGTTAATGGAATTGGAATTAAAGGGTTAGTTCACCCAAAAAATTCTGTCATTAATTACTCACCTTCGTGTTGTTCCAAACACGAAGATGAACGAAGGTCTTACGGGTTTCGAACAACACGAGGGTGAGTAATTAATGACAGAATTTTCATTTTTGGGTGAAATAACCCTTCAAGAGGATTCAGAATAGTTCCGTTTGTTTAAATTCCCATCTCTAATATTCAGGATTATTATATGTACACTTATTACAAGGAAAATAGATCTAAGGTTTAGCGTCTTGTTTAATTTGAAGACTTTTGTCATTTATTTTGTAGCAATTGAGTATGCTGCTGGTTTGTAACTAGTCCTCATTACCATTTTCAGACTCTAGAGGAAAAGCAAGCTGAGATTGAAGACCTGCGCTCTCTGGTTGAACGTCTTCGTTGTGACCTGCAACGTTTACGGCAGGCAAAGGAAGAAGAGACTGAGCAACTCCACGAGGTTATTAACAAGCTTCAAGAGGAGTTAAGCCAGCTTGACCCCAACTATCATGAGGTCAGTGACCCCAACACTGACAGCCAAGAGTCATCTGACTTCCCCTGGTCCCCTCATCCTCGCCAACAGAGGGCGCCTGAGGAAAGCCTGTGCCAGGAGCTCAGTAGCCACACGCTGCAGTCGTCTCGCGCTCGCTTGCAGGAGTTACAGATTAAACTGGAGCGAGCAGCTGAAGAGAAGGACTCTCTACAGAGACTGTTGCTCTCCCAAGAAGAACAGTATGGAAGCCAGGTGGAGGCACTCGGCCGGAGTCTTGGAGAGGAAAGGGGGAAGGTGGCTGCGTTGGAACAGGAAGCAAATGAGCTGAAACTCCAGCTAGAGGAGAAGCGGACAGAAGCGGAGAGATTGGCGGATCGTGTGGAAGTGTTGGAAGATACAGAGCAAGCTCATCAGTCCAGGCTTAGAGAGTCTGAGCTCCAGCTGAGAAGAGTGGAAGTGAGAAGAGACGAGGTCCAGCAGGAGCTTGGCAGGCTGCAGGAGGAGGTGAAGAACCAGTGTGTTGAGAAGGAGCTTCTGGAGAACCAAATCTCGAAACTGCAAAACAAAGAAGAGAAATATCAGAATGAACTTGTCGCTTTACAGTTCAAACTCGACGGGCTTGAGGAAAACGTCCAAGTAGGCAAAGCCACCATCATTGCCTTGGAGACAAGCAAAAGTGAACTGTCCATTGAGAGAGAGGCTCTGAGAAAACGGGAGGGATGCCTCCAGGAAGAAATAGAGCGTTTGAAACAGGAAGTGACATCAAAGACTAACTACATTAAAGAACTACTTGACCAACATAAGGAGACGGTGGCTAAACAAGGGGAAGCTCAAAAAGAAGTACTGGTGAGATACTTGGGGAAAACTTTTTTTTTTTTATTCAAACCCTGCTCACTACAGTTTGAGTGCTTAGTTTTCCTTTCTTACTGTAGTGGAATTTTAACAAAACTGCCCTATAAACCAACTGTAATTGTTATGGACTTGGGCTGTAACTTTATGACTTTACTCTTGCCATGAACTATGTAAACGGTGAGTTATTTGGTAAGTTGCCTCAAGGTTTCATGCTTTGCAGATTCTGTAATTAGTTGTAGATCAACCGTGTTTTGTTTGTGCAGTTTAGGTTGTGCCTGAAATTACAGAAGAAAAAAGGGGGAGGAAAAAGAATAGAATGATTTAGTCCAGCCCTCTGGCACAGCCCTCATAGCTCACATGGGAAGTAAATTTACAAAAAGAGGAAGTCTGTCTGAAGTCTTTTAAACCGTTTACTTTAAAAGCTTGATCTAAACTTTGGGATCGGTTAGTCATGAGCTAAAGTGAAAAGCTGCATGGTTTATATTTGCTTTGTTTAGAGTATGATCGAGCGATGTTTTAGCAAATAACATTTAATTTCTTGGAACTTTCTTTCTAGCGATGAGCCACTTTTGTTGTGATTGAGCAGGAGGCAAAACCTTAAATGCTTTTACATGTAACAGTTCTATGTCATTTTTGGATTGGTTTATGTTCAATGGTTAGGAATAGTTTACATGTTGAGTCATGCATTTTTACAAATGACTTGCTGAAGATTTGAGCTAGTTCTTCTGCTCATTTATCAGAGCATGACCTTAACTTTATATAGTTTTGTAACTGCTGATGTAACACATTTTGTGTGTGGTGTAAAGAACTGACTTTCTGAGTGTTTATTTTTGCAGACGTGTGCTGAAGAGACCTTGGCTAAAGCTGAGACTGCTTTACGTGAGAGAGAACAGCAGCTGATCCACCTGAGGGCGGAGCATGGTGCTCTAAGGGCGGAGCTAGCAGCTGTGAAGGAGGGGCTTAGTACCAGCACAGAGAGAGCTGAAAAGCTACTGGAAGAGGGACAGGTATGTGGATTGGTTTCTTAATTGATAAACGCATTGATTTGTCAGTTATGACTGTTTTATAAATACTTTGAGTCCAAACGGACCCAGAATGTAAAAAAAAAAACTTGTACAGATTTAATGCATTTTTAAGGTTAATAGAATAAATAATTCCACAGAGCACAAGCACCAGTCACTTTTTTTCAGAAGTGTAAAAATCAAGTTTGCTGATTTGATCTTTCACCATCAGACGAAAGATCGTGCGTTGGCTGATCTCGAGGTCCATAACCAGCACCTGAAAGCAGAGCTGCGGAGTCTGCAGGATGACCTGGCTGTGCAGGAAGAAGAGCTGGCCTATCAGCAGCAGGAGCTAGAGCAGCTCCAACAGCGCTGCAACCTGCGGGACCATCATCCCAAACACGGCCACCGCTTTCTTGAAGGCCTTTCCCGTGACCCATCCCTCTCTGCTTCCTTATCTTCACCAGAAGTCCTGCGTAGGTTGGAGTACAGTGAAGAGCACCCCTCTCATCTGCATGTGTCTCACCTCTCAGACCTCAGTGCGCTACACAATGCCAGCCTAGAGCTCCACAGCAAGCCTTCGCCTATGGAGCGGGACAAAGAGAGACCACACGCCAGACAAACTTTTATCCCACCTTCAGAGGAAGTCCCACCCAGCACACACAGTGCATCCCCTTGCTCACTTACTGTGTCCGAACACCTTTCTGTGCTTGACTCCCTGGATGCAGATAAGGTAAGCATGCATTTCACTTTTTTTCCAAAGAAAAGTTCCAGTGCTAATGGAAACATTAAAAACACTAATTGAATGCCATTAATAAAAAATAAAAAAAGGAAATGCATTGTGTTTGTTCGACCTCAAGAATTAAAGCATAGCTTGTTTATTTAGGTTATAAAAAAACAAGTAGCTTATTTTTTTATTTTGTAATTCTTGTTCCAGTTAATTTTTTTCTGGTTTCTGTGTTTTGATTTTTAGTATAAATGTATCATTTAATTTGACACAGTTTCTAAATTCATGCATCTTTGTTTCATCAATGAAATCAGAAAGAATTGTTACAATTTACAACCAAACATTTGTAGTCTTACTGTTTTTATAGATTTTTGTCCTTAAAGCACTGCACAACAGAAGTATACCGTGTGTGTGTGTGTGTGTGTATATATATATATATATACTGTATATATGAAAACATGGTTAAAAAATGTTGGTTGAATGTTAATGAAAGTAGATTTCTTCAAATTAATGAATTTCTATTTTTCTGGTTTCTCATGAAGTTCAGTTCAGTTTTTGATTTATCACCCAGCCTTCATGCCAGAAAATTGACTGTTTTTTGGCCAAACATTTAAATAGTTAGAATTGGTGCCACATGTTTATTGGTTCTCTCTGTTGACGTCATGATGGTGTAGCTGTTATGTTTTAAGGTTCATGAATTGGACAATTCAGATGTGACGCCATCTCTGTCTCCACTTGGTTCCAACTCTCCTGGGTCTGTGCCGGAGTGGGTCAGCGATGGATATGGCAGCAGTGAGTTGTGTACTTGTGCATGCTTGCATTTCTGTAAGACTGGATGTGTTTAATTAAGGTTAGAATTATTTTATTAGTTAATCTTACTGTGTTTGTAGATGTGAGCTCAGAGTTGGAGGCCATGCTGAGACTTGAGTTGGAGAATACAGAGCATTTAGATGCTCATTTTGTGGAGTATCTGCGCTGCAGAGGAATGTCACCTGCTGAAAACACAGATAGTGCTGCAGGCAGTATGCACGAGAGCCATGAGGCCCTCACACCTGAGTTACAAGTAAACAACAACTTTTTAATGCTACCCTCACTCATACATGAAGAACTGATGGGTTTATTGATTCTATATCTGTGCGTATCATTTACAGGCTATGTTGAAGCGCGTCTACCAGGAAAGCTGTAGAATCCTGTCTTTGTCCCATCGCCCTGCCCCATCTGGACAGTCCCGCCAAGATTCTGAGCCTGCCCCGCCCCCCTCCTGGCAGAGGGAAAGACAGGCCTTACATGAGACCATCTTATCACTCAGAGAGCTGCTCTGCAGGATGGCTGACAGGAAACCCAGGGTGAGGCTCATCTGTACATCGCTTACCTGATAGATCCTTAAAGTAGGAATGAAACAGTCAGACAACCGAAGACATGTAGTAGATTGTGTGCAGCCGGTTTTTCAGCAAACTTTTAATCATGTTGATCATTTAGAGACCTTTTTTCTGATTAAATATGATGCACTAGGCTTTGTAAGGTTAAAGGGGTCATATGATGCGATTTAAATTGTTCCTTTCTCTTTGGAGTGTTACAAGCTCTTGGTGCATAAAGAAGATCTGTAAAGTTGCAAAGACTAAAGTCTCAAATCTAAAGAGATATTCTTCCTAAAAGTTAAGAGTCAGCCACACCTACCTAAAACGGCTCGTTCTAACACGCCCCAATATACCTACGTCGCTCTGTGGGAAGATTTGCATAACGCCGCCCCAAATGTTCACGCAAAGAAAGAAGGCATAACTTTTATGTGTGCTTCGTTGTAAAAGCGAAACCACTTTGTTTGGTCTTCCAAAAGAGGACGATATCTGCTTCGTCATCCCTGGAGCTGATCCGTGCTGGTCGCTGAGGAAATACTACAACTTTGCGCTGTGGATCGCCGGATCACAAGTCCAGCCCGGAGTCGTCACATGTCCTTCCGGACACTCCTTTGTCGAAATCGCTGGCCGCGCCGTTCTCAAGCCCGTCTCCTCTGCTCACTCTAACCCTCCGGCCGTTAATCACTTTATCCCCCGGCCTCTGCTCACTGTAGGCCGCGGTGTGTGACGCTGTTTCGTTGTGAAAGCGAAACTACTTGGTTTGGCCTTCCAAAACTGGACACGGCTAGAAATCAGTGGTTAAGTTTACAACACGGTTCCAGAACACTTCAACCCAAATATTTGGATGTGTGCAGCTCATTTTATGGAGGACTGTTTCCTGGAAGAGTAGACTACAATGTGTTTTTTGAACCTTAAACCGCATAAACACATTTCGTTACACCAAATACACAAAATACTGTTCTTTTTAGCAGCATCATATGACCCCTTTAAAGTAACTTGGAAATAAAACTGCAGATCCAAAGTGATAGTGTGCGCGATCCAACCGTTCACTTACATTTGAATTTTGTTTGTGTGTATGTATATGAAGACTGACAGTGGGGACGTGGACTGGAGGCGTGAGCTATTGCAGGCTGTCCACAGTTTGTTTGACAGTGAAAGGGAATGGCTTCACTCTCAGCTTCAAGTTTTCATGGCAACTGCTACTCAGATGGACCTCACCCCTTTGCTGGATCAGTTAAAGAAACTGTTTCAGAAGCAGGTGCTGAGAAGCCCAGCATATGATGCTGTTTTTGATGCTGATATTCTCATTTGAAATAAATGTGCTTTTATTTATTAACTATTCTGATTCTCTTTCAGGAAGAGCAGCAGTGGAGATCTCTAGAGCAGCTGTTCAACGCAGACCGTCACAGTCTATTGGCTGAGGTGCGCAGCCTGCATGCGCAGCTGCATGCAAGCACCCAGCAGAGCCAGGAACAGCTGCGGCAGCTGCAGGATTCCCTACACACCGCAAAAGAACAGGGCATGGAAATGCAACATCAGCTGCATAAAGATGGTATGTTTTTCACAATTCATTTGAGGGAAAAAATTTACCGCAAGTATTGGAAAACCAACAAAAACAGGCCCAAAGGTAGATTTTAACTCTGTGCACTGTTTAGTTGAAGAGCTGGTGTTGCGGCTGCAACAGGAACAGACCGTGTCATATGATCTGCACTCCTCTCTGGAAGCTGAGAAAAGTAGGGGATTGGAGGGGCAGAGGCAGTTGGAGGCGGAGCTAAAGGCTGTGTCAGTGCTGAAGGCGGAGCTAGAAGAGACCAGGCTAGAGCTTCAGACTACATACAAAAATCAAGATGAATTAAAGAGCCAAATTCACAAGCTCAGGTACAGCAAACATGCATGCACACTCTTTGAATATGAATTGTCACTAGTAATATGCCATATTTTTATTTTTTTTCTGAAAAATGTTTGTCCGTCTTTCAGGCTTAAGCTGGAAAATGTTGAGGCTGAACATCGAGCCTGTCTACAGGCATTGGAGAAAGAGCAGGCTAGAGTACAGGAACTCCAGGAGGACCTTCAGCAGCAGCGACTCATCAACCAACAGACAGTTGAGCAAAACCACCAAATACAGGAGGTGAACCACAGTTTTGATGTATTAACCTTCTATTGGTGGGGAATGTGATTAATTTATGAGTTTATCAGTACTCTGACGTAGTTCATCAAAGTGATATTCATATTCTTTCACTGTTTTTATTTAGTGGCTTTTGTTAGGGTTAAATCATTTTGTCAGTATGTGGCTTTTTGTTTTGTGTGTTTTGAATGAGTCATTGAATGATTCACTTGGTATTAGATTAGTTTTGGTCGATCGGATCACAAGTGGACAATGGAGACTAGGAATGTTCATTTCGGTTATTTTTCCTAACCGACAACAGACGCTCGTTAACCAATTATTAACTGTTAACCGACAAGATTATTTTAAATTCGAATTTAATTCAATTAGAACGGATACGTGTCTGTGACCCGTTAAAAAATACTAACATTTGTTTCCCGGGGATTAATTTTACATGCTCAAAAAGCAGCAAACAACAGAACATGAGGATTCACATGGTCTTCATATCATATCACGCACCTGCAGCGCTTCTGCGAGCGGAGAAAAACATAATAAAGCTAGGCTATAGGCCTATATATTTAATGATAAATAGGCCTTATATGATAAATATATTTTTACTTAAATAGTAAATTAAGAAAACGAAAGAAAAACTGTGCAACATGTCGAGAAATATATTTTTACTTAAATAATAAATTAAGAAAACGAAAGAAAAACTGTGCAACAAGTAGCCTAGTATTCAGAGTTTCCGTTCATTTTTGTGCGGCGCAAAAGGAAACCAGACGGCAGAAAGAAATGTGTACATTTTTATTGTGAATGTACACAAAGGCAAACATTTTTCAATTCCGATTATCTTTGACTAAAAGGAGTAGTTGCTTCCACTGTTAGAAGCAAAAAATTCAAGTGATTGCGCCGCATGCGCACACACAGGCATTGCTACCTTGACAATGCAGCCTGCTCATCATAATAAAATACAGTCAGTCAAACATATGGAAAAAAACACTGCTCAGTTTAAATATGTAGTCAAATCTGTGCCGTTAAGCGTTATCACCGTACCGCCGTGAATGATGTTACACAGGAGGTGAACCACAGTTTTGATGTATTAACCTTCTATTGGTGGGGAATGTGATTAATTTATGAGTTTATCAGTACTCTGACGTAGTTCATCAAAGTGATATTCATATTCTTTCACTGTTTTTATTTAGTGGCTTTTGTTAGGGTTAAATAATTTTGTCAGTATGTGGCTTTTTGTTTTGTGTGTTTTGAATGAGTCATTGAATGATTCACTTGGTATTAGATTAGTTTTGGTCGATCGGATCACAAGTGGACAATGGAGACTAGGAATGTTCATTTCGGTTATTTTTCCTAACCGACAACAGACGCTCGTTAACCAATTATTAACTGTTAACCGACAAGATTATTTTAAATTCGAATTTAATTCAATTAGAACGGATACGTGTCTGTGACCCGTTAAAAAATACTAACATTTGTTTCCCGGGGATTAATTTTACATGCTCAAAAAGCAGCAAACAACAGAACATGAGGATTCACATGGTCTTCATATCATATCACGCACCTGCAGCGCTTCTGCGAGCGGAGAAAAACATAATAAAGCTAGGCTATAGGCCTATATATTTAATGATAAATAGGCCTTATATGATAAATATATTTTTACTTAAATAGTAAATTAAGAAAACGAAAGAAAAACTGTGCAACATGTCGAGAAATATATTTTTACTTAAATAATAAATTAAGAAAACGAAAGAAAAACTGTGCAACAAGTAGCCTAGTATTCAGAGTTTCCGTTCATTTTTGTGCGGCGCAAAAGGAAACCAGACGGCCAGACGGCAGGTGTACATTTTTATTGTGAATGTACACAAAGGCAAACATTTTTCAATTCCGATTATCTTTGACTAAAAGGCTAAAAGGATTCCACTGTTAGAAG